GAGATGCTCCCCTCCTACTTTTTTGACTACTTAGTTTTGAAATCTTTGAGCCAGGGACCTCACTCAGTCTGAGGGTCCAGGAGACAGAGAAATGGGCTCCAGGCACCTCCACTGACACCACCAATTTACTGATTGCCTACTATGTGCTAGGTCCCCTGTTAGGCACTGGGGTGTAGACTTGAATCAGATATTGTCCTTGCCTCAAAGAATTTGTAGTCCAAAGTGCAGAGAAATAAGTCATGTACTCAAGAAAGCAACACAAAGTTGGCCACTCTGAGGAGAGAAGTTTCTGGACAGTCTTACAACAACCTTGGGAGTGTGTATGTAGGACAATCTACCAAGGGAGGGGGCCTTTATCTTTATCCTTTGTTTCCTGTCTCTTGCTTTTAAGACCTCTTATCCATACTAAGCTACTTTCCCTAACTTTATGGTAACTAGATTTGAGAAACGGTCTTTTGTGTGAAAACTTGTCAAAGACTTGTTTTAGTTCTTTGTCTATAAAATAATGAGATCAGATTTGATAAAGACTACAATTCCTTCATTTCTAAAATTCTGACTCAACAGAAACCCTAAATAAGTAATTGCTGCCTCTTACCCGCATTCGTATTTCCTCCTCAAAGAACTCAGTCCTAATGGCCTGATGTCTCTGAACTCCTGCTACATCACCATTGGTGTCACCCGTTAGGATTCAGCATGTCCTACATCGTATTAATCAGTTGAGTGTGAGCTCCCGATGGGCTGTAATGGGATCTGACTCATTTCCCTCCTTGGTGCCTGCCAGTCTGTGGTCTAAGTCAATGTTTGCTCAAGGAGGCCGGTTTTTAGCAGCACCTGGTGAGCTTTAAAAACTAAGTAACAAGACAAGATGGACTTCGAAGCCTCATGCCTTGATTTCCAGATGCAGCTGGTCTAGGCTGGGGCTCAAGAATCTGTAATTTTAGTACGTTTCCCGGGTGATTCTGATGATCAGCCATGTTTGAGAACCAACGGTCTAAACTGAATTGAAACACTGTGTCCATGCATCTGTGTGTGTGTGTTAAAGTGGGTGCGTATTTATATAGTTCCCCAACAAGATCTTAAGTGTCTATCTGCCTACCTTGCTTCCTTCTGCGTAAGTGCCAGGTGCCATCTCTGATCTCAGTGCTCTCATCACAGTGAGGGCGAAATCAGAGCATGTAACTCTTCGTGCCTTCAGTGCTCAGCCTCTGGCGGCCAGCGCTCAGTAGGTGACTGGTAATTGCTCTGTTGATGACTATGAGAAACCCAGTGTTCAGGGGCCTATCGGCTTGGCAGGCGCAGAAGTGAGACTCTCTGGCTTGTAGCTCCATCTGAGACCCCCTTATAGTACATCAGTCATGTTGACGAGCCCACCGGCCTCCTTATTTCCCCCCTGGGGGATTTCAACATTTCTTGGATGATTGACTGTCTTTCAACAGTCCTTTTACAGACTGAGACTTAGAAAGCAAGTTTCCCAGGATCCCCAAGCTGGTATGTGGTGGAGTTGGGGTTTGAACTCAGATCAACAGAATGGATTTGGTTGATATTAGTGCCTGACTCATAAAACCAAAGTTAATGTCTTAATATAACACATAGAATTAATAATACCTATTACCTTAATCCTGGACCATAGGCTGACAAAATTATTACCCAAATCAACTTTTTAAAAACACTGTTTTTTGTTTGATCAAAAGAAGCATTTGTAAAAAGGTGAAAATAGGGTGTTATTTGTTTAATCTTTTGCCCCTCTCTCCCAAAACATGCACAATCTTTATTATTATATTATCTCTGAATTCTGATTTTAATTTAATGTACATAAGGAAATCCTAGTAAATGATGGCAGGCTCAAAAGACTAGTCACAGGTTATTCAAACATGTTAGCCCAAAAGACACCAAATACAAATTATTTGTGATACATCAGTCATTCTTTTTTCCCATAAATCTTGAAAATAAAAATTGCCTTTAGCTTCTCATTTTTAATGTGCTTTCCTCCTTTGAATTATGTAAAAGTTCCAAAGATATAAACAACTCTATATACAAAGAAGCAGTGTGGCTGTATTTGTGACACCATACATTTTTCACTCTTAAAGAAAAAATTATGAAAAACTTGCTTTGAACCACTCTTCAATTCTAAAGGAAGCTAATTTAAAAGATTTATAAATCTAACTTGTTAAGTAGCCAAACTATGTTTTATTTGAAAATAACATAAAATTACAAGCTGAGCTAAGCTGACTGGACAGGAGAAGGAATGACTCTGCCTTCCCTAAGCTTCACAGCTGGGAAGCGGGTAGGAACTGACAAGCCAGAAGAAAAGAATCAGTTTAACACATCTTCCCACACGGCGTGGAGTCAGAGCTGGGCATTGCAGAGGTTTAAACGGTTCCCTCTCCCTAGAAGGTGGAAATGGTAATTAATTATGATATCATTCTCTTTTTTTTTTTTCTATCTTCTCCCCTCTCATTCCCCCTCCCCATCACTCCTGCCCCTTACTGGTCCCCCACTGAATGTTTTCTCATTTTGTTTCTCAGCTTTATTCTGTTACTTAGCTGTGTTTAGGTTATAGGAGTTGAAACTTCATTTTATTTTGCATCATTTATTGTTGAAAATAATTTTGATAAGAAGCACAGAAAGCTCAAGGGATGTCTCTAAAGCCACAGCCAGTAAGGTTCCAGTAAGAGGAGCCTGGAACTGAACCCCAGGAGACTGAACCCCAAGGTTGGGCTCCTTTCCTTGGAGCTATGCTGCCTTGCCGATTTCCATACTCTCAGTAAACAACAATCGGTACAAAGTCCTGAGTCTTCTAATTGTTGAAATGGATACATATTTATCACCCTATGTTAGACAGTCAGAAACCTTAGGAGGTAGGTTTAATAACCACATTTTACAGACAGAGTTGAGGGCAACTGACGTGGCCAAGACGGCACAGCTGGCATCCCCCCCCACCTCAGAGCTTGTGTTTGAAGGCACGTTTCCATCTACTACCTCATTCAAGGACTGTGCCAGGCCCAGGAACCTCTCCAGGAGTACTTCCTGCCTGAATGGATGGATGTTGATCTGCACACTCGCTGTACCAGTTAGGCAGGAGGCAGTTGGGGTAATGAAGATTCGGGAAGTTAGGCGCTTGCTCAGGTCACTCAGCTAGTAAGTAACTAGGCCGAGAGCCCCAGTCTTTCCACAGTGTCCTCCTGGGGCAGGAATGCTGACCAGCTGTGTGAGAGGCAAGCTGCCGACAAGGAAGGACTCCTCAGCAGACTGATTTTTAAAATATGCAGCTCTCATATACTGAAATATTCAGTAGTGAGGTTTTATGATGTCTGCAAATGACTTTCCAATGGTTCAGAAAGAGAGAGAGTGAGCCAATATTAACAACTTGTGGATCTAGGTGAAAATATACCGATGGTCACTGTACTGTTCTTTTAAATTTTATGCGGATTTGAAGTTTTCCAAATAAAAAGTTAGAAAAGAAAAGAGGAAGGAAGGGAGGGAGGAAGAAGAGAATTCTGGTGGGTCCATTCGCCCTCTGTGACTCTGTGGTGCCCGTGCACTGACCACTGTGCGGTCCATCTACTGTCTTTTGACTATCAAGTGATTTATTCATTAAAATTGCCAAAATATGGTATCTGAATAGATGACTCACTGAAAAGAGTTAACGTTCCGGCACCTATGGGTATATGTTTAAATTTATAGATAATCCTCAGATTTAGTAACCTACTTTCTTTCATTTGAGGAGCAGTTGCATTTCCAATAATGTTGTATTTGTTTTTGCAATGAAAATTTGCTAACTAAAAACTATAACTGTCTTCTGTGAAAGCAGAAAAAGAAATAATATCGGTGTTTGAAATAGATTAGCTGACTTAGCAAGCATGAGTTCATTTTGGATGAATTACAAAATTCAAATGCTCAATATTCTTAACTGCTATCATAAAAATAATTTTTACAGATTACTAACTAGTAGTTTTCTTTTCTTCCCAATTGTGTTTCAAGACCCCCAACTTTAAATCCAGCACAATAGAATTGAAAATTTATAGAACAAAGACTCAATAATCAGTGAAATTTATTGGTAATATGTGCATTTTACAGTTGCTTTTTTAGAACTTTTTATTTATATTTTAAAATATATGGTTGTTAAACTTTTTGTGAATAATATAAGTTAGAAGTAAGGAAAAAAAATTGAAGCCTTCTTACCCACAGACAACTGTCATTTAACATTTTGGTTGGATTTCCTTTAGGTCTTTTTTCTATTCATAGTGTTTGTTATTCTTATTTATATAATTGTATATTCTATATACATTTTTTACATCTTTCTCTTTTTAAATAACACTATTTCATAAGCATTTTCTGTATTATTACAGTTTGGAAAAAAAATCCTTTTAAGGTAGGCGAATGAAAACAATAAAAAGAAATCCTGGGAGGGCAATTAAGAAATTCCAGCCCTGTCCCTGGGAGGAATGGAAGACAAGGGCAGGACATAGACTTTCCAGCTGAACACCTCTGTGTATTTCTGTGTGTGTGTACACACACACACACTTTTCGACCTATGTATGCATAATGCTTGTTAGAAATTTAAAGAAAATTATCTGAATCATGTAAAATTTGGGCATAATATTAAGTAGATAGACCTTTATTTACATTTATTTACATAATTCCCCAATTAGGGAACTCTCAGGGTCTGTTTAATTTTGTTCCTCATATGTCAATCTGTGTTTTTAAATAACTTTGTGTGTGTATGAATAATTGCCTGATGTCATGTGGTCATTAGTTGAAATAATCACACTGTCTTACTGTCCACAGGTTTATTTTTACTTTTTATATTGTTCTTGATAATTTACAATCCTATTTAGAGACTACATCCTCAGTGATTTCCTTTTTTCCCCCCACTTAAGAGCTATTTCTCTCTTTATCAGAAATCTCATCAAAATATAGGCTTTGAATTGGTGTGTGCTGTTCTTTTCCATGGAAAAGGAAAATACACTGAAGCATGCTCCATATCTTACTTGGCACCTTTAGCCCCCTGACTAGATGTAGGAAAGTGCGAGAACATTAAGGGCCAGACCGTGACGTGTTATTGCTGACAGTGTGTGCATCTGACCAGTGCCGCTTCCCGGGGACCTTCATGTAGACGTTATTGTGAACTTCTGTATGGACGTGGAGTCCTTTGCCTCCAAGACTGTGGTCAACTGTGAGGTTGGTCACCTTCAGCCTGCGTATGTTAACAAGCAGAGAGCAGAACTTCTGGGCTCCAGCAACACAATGTCACTGTATCCCTGAGCTGATGCAGGGGCTGCCTGGACATTCCGGCCTGGCTTTGGTTTTCTGCAGCCACCACCCACTCCACACTCTCATTCCATTAGCGCTGGGGGCCTGCCTTGGCCTCTTGCATGCTGAGAAGAAAGGACAAAGACCTCAACTCACCCCACAGCAGCCACAACTCTGGCAGTCTCCGCACAGGGTCCCCAGGAGGCCGTTGATCACCTGGATGGCGCAGAGAAGCATCTGAATGATTCCTATGACCAGCAGGATGGAGAAGAGGCTCAGGTTCCAGGGAATCACGTTGGCAGGCTCTTGGCACTTGCTCCATAAGGCTTTGTCACTCAGGTAATCCCTGCCGGGGACATGGGAGAGAAAGGAGACATCTGTAAGAAGTAAGCAATACCTGGGACTAGAAGTCACCATAGTGGTTTTTCTTTTGCAATAGTTTCCATCCAAAACATAAGCTTCATAAGAAGAATATTCCATAATAACAACACTTTTAAAAATAATACCTCACATTTTATTGAGTATAGACTATGTGCCAGACCCTGTTCTAAACATCTTACGGATATTCACTCATTTATTTCTCATAGAAACCTTATGGTTCTTTTCTTCATTTCACAAATAAAGACACTGAGGTACAGAGAGGTTAGGTGACTTGCCCCTACATCACACAGCAGCTAAGTGATAGAGTGATATTTGGGAGCTGACCAAGAGGATGGGTAAATTTAATACCTATTACGGGTCCAGGAAAATGAAGACACTCGAGGAGTAGACTCTCACTCATGTGTGTGGTCTTTATGCTACCAACTGTCATCAGAGACTTTTGACAAGTTACCTCTTAAGGCTAGCAGCCATCTGAAGCCATGAAGTACAATCGTGGCTAGAGTGAGAGGGAAGGGCTTGATTTTTTTAAGGCTTAATTCTAGCCAAATTGTGAATTTGACTCAACTATATTCTTGTTAACATGTAGGGATTCCACATGCAAGAAAGATTTAATTAATTAAAAGGAAGAAATAATCTGCTGCCTTAATACATATTTTACAAAAACCTTGAAATAGGAGAAACTGCAATACATTTATAAAATATACATATGAGGAGTCCACCGCAATATAAAGTGCACTGTTCCTTGAAGGAGAAATGCAAAGGATGCTATCTTTAGTTGAAACAAAGACGAGAGTAAAGTGGGAAATCCTGTGGGTTATTACGATTCCTTCTCACATTCTTAGAGCCACAGACCAGTCTCTTCCTCTTCCTTTGTGCATCTTCTGTCCTTCCAAGGCATCAATGGGAAACTCTCCATCTGGCTACTAAACTCACATCCGCCTTCTTGTTTTTACGTCTTTTTGACAACCCCTGTTTCTGATGAATTCTCCAGTGCGTCAGTGCACACTTATTTTAAAGACATCCTGTGTTACGATTTTGACAAATCTTTGAAATGAAGGAAGATGCCCTGGAGTTTAACAGAGCAGAAGGAATGACGGAAGGACTGAGCATTTTGCTCTTGATGTAAAGATTAAAGGTTGTTTATAGCATCGATTCACCTTCCATTAGAGCACGGGCTCTCCTGCTCACCGGCTGTGTGACTGGGGCACTTCTCTGATGGGACTGACCTTCTCTATCAAGTCCCAGGTTATGTGAAGATTGAACGTTAATACTAGTCAAGTGCGGAGAACAGCGCGCAGCATATAGGAAGTGCTCGGTGGACGCTGGCATTGTCCTTATTTTACTTAATCAGAGCAGTGTGGTCTGAAGGAAAGGGGCTGGTATTTTGGATTCAGATGGACCTGGGTTTGAATCCAAGCATCCTCTTACTAGCTGTGTACTCCACCTACAAGTTACCCCCCAGCATCCGTTTCTTCATCTATAAAATGGGCTGAGCACAATCTCACAACTGTGAGAGTTTGCTGAGATGATAAACTCTATGTGTTGTTCTGTAAGTCCTCTTTACAGTACTGATTATTTTTAAACACTCATCTTTCTGTTCTGCATTTTTCCATGCAGTCCTTTCTATCTTTACAACTTTTAACTTGATGATTGTAAGAGTTTATAAAGAGATAATACTTTCCAGGCACATTTTAGAAAGAAAAGATCCTAAGACGAAGTAATTGGCAGTCCTGAGTCTTTCTGCCTCTGAAGTTTGTACAGCGATGGGACGACAGCACCTCCTGGTGGTGAGACTGTGAAGCGCTCACGGGGACTTGGAGCAGGGATTGGGTTTGGCTGCCTGGAGAAATCCTCTCAGGCGCACTCCTGCTGCTGCCTCACCCCTCACAAACCGCCACGGATAGCCGTTCCAGGCCCTTCTTCTACCCCTGCAGACTCAGGTTCTGAGACTCTCAGAGATCCCGACAATGAATGCTGCGTCCAACCCTCCAACCTCAGCGGGGAGGAGCCCTAATTTTTCACCGACGGGGTAGCTAATCATGTTTCTACATTCTGTGAAGCAGGGAGAGCTGAGACGGTTTAAACCCACTTAACCAGGGTTTTAAAGCATCCCGTTGCTGCGAAGGGCCTTTTCCCCAGTGCTGCAGTAATGCCATCACCATCGGGGCAGAAAGCCATGATTTCATGAAACCTACTTCTTGCCAGCAACAGAGGCAGCTGCAGGAAGGAAGAGGGGAGTCTGAAGGCTTTGCCTGGCCCACTCCGCCTGGCCAACTCAGGGGCCACCTCCTCCGGGACAAGACTCCCTGATGCTCCTCTGCCCTCTGCAGGCTTTGGTACCCTTCTGTGCTTCCTGGCACTGTGCTCCCTCTGGGACGGAGGGCCCAGGGCCCTGTGCTGTCAGCGTCTGTCCATTTGTCTATCTTCTCTTTGGGACTGAACACCCACGAGGCAAAGACCATGTCCCCTCTCTCTGTCCCCAGTTCCGGCACAGGGAGAGTTCAATAAATCACAGCCCCTTTCATGGTCGGGGTCCTGCCCCTGTGCCCGGCACTCGCCAGCTGCTTTATGTCATCTTTCCCAATCCCACAAGGAGGTGCTTCTTTACTTGAACAATGCCTGGCACAGAGTCACCTTCAGGAAACATTCACCGAGTGAATGAACATACACCCATACACAGGTTAAGAAGTTAAGGCTAGTAAATGAGAGTGCCCGGATTTCATCTTAGTTCTGTCTGACTCCAAAGCCAATGCTCTGAATCATTACACAACTCTCTCCATTTGAGCAATTACATCCCTTTAGGATATTTGAAATATGATTTCTTTATGAAATTTGATTGACACACTACCTCTGTAATAGTACATCAGTCAAGGTTGACCTACACCATGGTAAAGAGATTATTCTCTTTGAACCTTCAGGTGGCTGGTTGAAAACATTGAAGTTAGATCATGAAATCATTATAAAAGCATAACATTCTAGAAGGTTCTAACGTATGATAATAAATTCCACTCACGGTAGTGAGTTACAATCATGAAAATGAAGAATGAGGCTGAATGTTTAGCAGGTATTGCTTGGCAGTCATTGTGCCACGTGCTGTAGGTACATCATGTTATTTCACTCTTGCCTGAACCTGACCGTGCTGTTACCCCATCTCACAGAGGAAGAGCTGAGAGATCACACCACTGGTGTGGGGCAGAGGTGGGAATGGACCCTAAGTCCGGTCGGGCCAAGGGCAAAGCTGGTTCTAACATCTGTGAGTGTTTCTTGCTTCCCGAAAGCTGGGAACACGTGGTCAATCCCGTCTGACCCGATGGATGTGGCTTCCAGCTCGAGGGAATGGGGCTCCTGCTAACAAGTAACATTTTAAGTGCGGATACAAATGGTCTTCACTGAAAGTCCAGGCTGACCACTGAACTGTATTCAGGCCTGCGTCTCGGTGGGACAGTGCTCCCCTCACCGCCCAACTCCTTCCTTCCCCAGGGAGCAGGGAGGGAGGCGCCGCCCGGCCTGGGCGTGCTGTGGCCCTGGCCCCCCCCCACTGCGGGACCTCCTTGGGCTTCCTCCAGCTTTCCCTCCCGCAGCTGTCCCAGGGCCCTGCAAGCTGCTTCCCTTCCAGCAGCTCAGGGTCAAGGCAGAGGTGGGCATTGTCTCAGAAAGGAAGACCTTGGATGGCGGAGGTCCTACATCAAAGAAGCCACGAGGGTGTATCCCAAAATGGCCCGGCTTTCTTTTTTCTTCTGGGATATGCTTCCTTAGTATGGTTCTCACAGAGAAAAAGTTAAGTGTCTTTGATCCTTTAATATGGTCGCCAACAAACATTTCTGTGGAAAACAGAGCTAAATTCTATGGCATTGAAAAGCTCTGGGTTTGTGCCCCATGCTGGAATCGCAGGGTCCACCTTAACAACCTCCCCCTTCCTCCTCACGCCTGATCCTGAGGATTCCGTCTCACACAGTCTCTGAGGTGTCTCCTTCTTTTGAGCTCCAATCCTCTCCCTGCAGACGCTCATGATCTCATCTGGATTATTCCTCCAACCTCCTGCTTGGCTCTCCCTTCAGCTACTGGGCCCTTCTGTCCATCCTCCGTGTCGCGGCCGTCACGGTGGTTCTCAAGCTCCCAAATGGTCGTGGCATGTCCTGCTTGACCACGACGTCCTGCCATTCCCCGATGTCCTGAATCCAGGCTGCCTCTCAGTCCCCCCTCACGTGGTGTCCCCTTCAGCTCCTCTCCCCGACCTTCACCCTGAGCTTCGAGCCGCACAGCGTCCTGACGTCCTCCCAGCAGGTCCGGCCTGTCCGAGGTGCCTCAGCACTTGCCGCTCTCTCTGCCTGAAATGGGCTTCCCCTCCTCCTGCTCGTCCTCCAGAACCTGCCTGCGTCGCTTTCTCGGAGAAGCTCCCCTCACGGTCCTCCATTTCATCCCTTTCTGCACGGTGAGCATCTGTCCTGTGTTGTCACCCTAACCAGTCTTGTGCTCATGGGGCAGGGACCAGTCTGTCCTTCTTTGCTCCGTGTTTGGGACAGGCTTCAGCACAAAGCAGGGTACTGCCAAGTGTTTTGTTTTTGATTCTCCTTCTACTAGTTACTAGCTGTGGAGCCAGGGGCAATTTAACCTTTTTGAACTTCATTTTTCTACTCCAGGGATATGAATTCTTCTCAGATTTGTTAGAAAGATTACGTAAGATAAAGCCTGCAAAACACTCAGCCCTTAATCATTAAGAGGAGGAGGAAGAGGAGGGAGAATGGGGGGGGGGAGGAGCAGCTGTCACTGCTGCCACCTGGTCAAGGAAGACAGTCACTGTCCCGAGTCCTCCCATTGGGCTCACACAAGCGATTCATCCTCTACTCACTGTGGAGCTGTGTACGTGCGTTAGGTTTGCAGCTGCGAGGACAACGGCTGCAATGCTGGCCCTCGGGGCTCCCACGGAGAAGGGGTCCATGCTGTAGCAAACGAGACTGGAGACAGAGGCCCCTGGGCTTTGCTAGGTGGAGTGGACGCAAAAGCAGATAGTGCGAATCAATAGAAATTGTGTTCTAGATAAAGCGCTGTGCCTTGAAGTCAGACAACGTGGACTCGAGCTTCGGCCATTAAGAAACAGGATTCTTTGGGACAAGTCACTTGTGCTCTCTGGGCCTTGCTGTCTTAGCCTGGAGGAGAGTTAACTAAGCTCACAAGCTCTTTGTGAGGACCGAATGGACAATGTAGCTGAAAGCACTTTGTTGACTGACCACACAAGCCACAGGAGGCTCGGTTATTGTCACTAGAGAGTCCAGGCGAGCCCCTGGGTCAGGGAAGGTCTGGAGCTGGCAGCAGGAGATGAGGGCAAAAAGGGATGTGAGTTGTTGTCTCAGAAAACAGGAGGCAGGATGTTGGAGAAGACGGAAAGCTGAGGAATGTGCCAGGTGGCGAGGACGCAGGGAGACCACTGCCCTGGGCCCCTCCCCCTGAGAGCGCCCCTGTGGAGCCGGGGCCTGTTTCCCACCGTGCCTGAGAGTGGACTTGCACCTTGGGTGGGAGTGAATTCTACGGTCAGGGCCTGAGGGAAAAAGCCAGGAATGGTCAAAATCACTCATCGTCTACGTCCCCTGGGAAGTGGTATCTATGATTTTGTAATTCGCCCCATGCAGGGATTTTTGATCATATGATAGTTTGAAGCCACTATGCAGATGTCTAAGTATTCAAACCTTCCTCCCCTCAGATAATTATCAAAGCCATACAGTGAACAGAGGATGGAGAATTCTGGAATGTTCCTGCTTGCCTGCAAAATTTATTCTGTTTTTATTATTAACCCTCTCTAATCTGATACCCGTTAGTGGATGGGTGAGTTGTGACGAGTAGACAAAATAACATACACAGAAGCATCCATCACAGAGAAATGTGCAGTATGTGGCTGTGATGTGAACGGAAACTTGTTCACCCAGAAGGACGAATGCAGAGAACTTTGAAAAGCAGTTTCCTGTCCTCCCCTCAAGCTGGCATTTCCTGTGCTGACCCTCAGCCCAGCAGTCACCCTACTGACCCTGGGCATTGGTCCCTCCCATTCCATTCAGGGCGTGTGTATGCCAGACCCTCACGCCAGCACACAGGCGACCGCTGTACGGCCGTGGAGGGTTACTTGGCATCTGCCATGTTTCCTTTCGCCCTCCTTCATTTGGCGCATAGATTTATTCTCCTTAAGTTCATCAAGGGTAGTATCATTCACATAAGAGAACAGATAGAAAACATGTTTAACATTGCACTGAGGCCGTTGATGGAAATAATAGGAGAAGGGTCCTTGAAAGAAGACGTAGTCTATAGCGTCACAGACGCAGCCCCAGGTGGGTGAGAGTGAGCTATCAGATGGACCTCAGGAGATGGCTCAGCCCTCTGATGTCTGAGTTCTGTGCTCTAGCAAGCAACCCCGTGGCAGTGGAGCCCCAGCAGTCCTCTGTAAGATGAGAGGCCCTTCCACAGCAAAATAAGTACCTTTGGGAATCACTGCCTGTGATGTGAAGATGTTAGAGGGCTTGTACAGCACAGGGTGGGGATGATATTTTTTGTGAACAAACCGAGACCTTGTGTTATAGCAGAACCAGTACTCTCTAAAGCCTGCTCTTAGAGTTATTTATATTTATTTCTTTATTTCTTTATGAGGAAGATTAGCCATGAGCTAACACCTGTTGCCAATCCTCCTCTTTTTTTGCTGAGGATGATTGGCCCTGGGCTAACATCCGTGCCCATCTTCCTCTACTTTGTGTGGGACGCCCGCCACAGCATGGCTAGATGAGCAGTGTGTAGGTCTGCGCCCGGAATCCAAACCTGTGAAGCCTGGGCCGCCAAAGCGGAACACAGGAACTTAACTGCTACACCGCCGGGCCCGCCCCCAGGGGTTCTTTAGACTCTCACTATAAATTAATATATAGGGTTTGAGTTAATAAATTGGTGCCCTATAGATTTTTTAGGCATAGACCCATCATCCATGTGCAGGAGGACCCAACAACCATATTTCCTGGCCCCCTAGATGTGTCTGTCACTGTGCCAGGCAGAGGGGCTGCGACGGCGAACAACACAGAAGCGGCCCCAGCCCTCCTGGAGGTGTGAGTCCAGCACAGAACACTCTAATAGACTGTCCGCAGTGATGAAATGTCCTATGTCTGAGGTATGCAACACACTCACCAACAGCCACGTGTGGCTACTGAGCGCTTGAAATACGGCTAGCGTGACTGAGGAATTGTTAACTTATGCATTTAAATGAACTGAAGTTTAAATAGCCGCATATGGGGGTCCTGGCTACTGGATGGGACAGTGCAGTCTGGGGGCAGAAGCACGTGTAACACAAAGAGACGAAGACTTGAGGTCAGAAGCCAGGAGGCTGAGCCCTGTGTCTGCTCCCAGCTAGCTGTGTGGCTTTGAGCAAGTCATACTTACACCTGCCTTGGCATGGAGTGACCACCTCCCAAGGGTGCTGCGGAGATTCAATTACAAATTGGTTAAAAAAAAAAAAGGCTCTTCATAAACTACAAAGTACCATGAAAATATCAAGTGTTATTTTAATGAGTTCTGTTAACATTAACTCTCATGGAGAACCTACAATGTTTTCGATGTCCTCTTCCATAAATTTGCTTTCTGTAAAGGCTTATTTAGTTATACACCGTTTGGGGTGTTAGTGAGAGCCTTTGAGCTCTATCAGTGAGTAGTCATCCTCGGTTTCCAGTATAAGATTTGCAACGGAAGCCACTGCTTGCTGTTTATAAGTATTATTAGTTGCTTCCTGTTGCTGCTAACGAATGTTTGTGTGCGAGTGTTGACACCACAAATCTCCTTCCCTCGGGCCAGCTGACACGCCCAATTTCAATTATTTCCCCTGGCCCCTGTCAAAGAGCAATTAGAGGTGAGACCTTATGCAACTTCATTCCACTCCACAACTCTGGCTCTGCCTCAAAGGAGCAACATGCCTGAGACTTGCAACACGAAGGCGACAGGACGTGAGCAGTGTCTCCCCTCGGGCTGCTGACGTGCCTGTGCCCCTTGGGGTGACACCTGGGCGTTGCAGGGTGTGTCTTACCCGTTGTCAAAGGGGTAGCCCCAGGTGCTGTTGTCCGTGAGACATTTAGGACCCTTGTTGATCGAGACAGCCGAGATGATAAATGAGTATCCGGCACCCAAGAATCCAACTGCAGCAAATATTGTGGAGCTGAACATCTGGAAGAGGAGAGAGACAGCCAGGTTCTTCAGTGGTCCAGAGGTCACACAGAGCACACCTAACCAGCCTGTGGTTGAGCGTGGTGACTGCAGGGAAGTTACGATGTAGGAGCCGGTCTTTATGGCAGGTGGGGCCTGCGGGGTCTCCTAGAAGGTGTTTTGGTGTCTCATGTCCCCTTCGTCACCCTCACTCCCATATCTTTTTTACCTATTCTTTGATGACTGAAGTGCTGGTTTTAGTTTGATACCTTTGAACCATGGTTTTTAACCTTGTTAAGCATAGAATCTCCTCCATAGGGCTAATATGGAAGGCCAGTCTATTATAGAATCAAAGAATCTTAGAATTGGAAGTGATCTTTTAAAAATTTTCTGGTCCAATTATCTCACAGAGGCTAAGTCACTGTGAGGTCTCAGGTGGTAGGCAGGTTCTGCTCATGAGAACGAGGAGAAGTCTAGAACTTCTCCTCATTGGTCCTGGTTACATTTCTTGAGGTAAAAAAGATTAAGTCCGACCTCTTTTCCATGTGGTAGCATCCTTTAAAATATCTGAAGATATTTTATGTCTTACATAAAAATATTTTATATTTTACATCATCTCCACTCCTTCCACCCTCTGAAAGGTTTCTCTTCTTCAGGTTACACAGCCCTAACAATTCCAGTTCTTTTACATTTTTTTTTTCCAGAGGAGGATTAGCCCTGAGCTAACGTCTGTTGCCAATCTTCCTCTTTTTTTTTTTTTTTGAGAAAGATTGGCCCTGAGCTAACATCTGTTGCCAATCTTCCTCTTTTTTTTTTTTTTTGAGAAAGATTGGCCCTGAGCTAACATCTGTTGCCAATCTTCCTCTTTTTCTTTCTTTTCTCCCCAAAGCCCCAATACATAGTTGTATATCATAGTTGTAGAGTTGTAGCTCTTCTATGTGGGGCGCCACTTCAGTACGGCTTGATGAGCAGTGAGTAGGTCCGTGCCCAGGATCCGAACCGGCGAACCCCGGGCCGCTGAAGCAGAACACGCTACACCACTTGGCTGGCCCCAATCTTCTTCTTTTTTTGCTTGGGGAAGATTAGCCCTGAGCTAACATCTGTGCCAATCTTCCTCCACTTTGTATGTGGGATGCCACCACAGCATGGCTGACAAGTGGTGTGGGTCTGCGTCCAGGATCTGAACCCGCAAACCCAGGCCACAGAAGTGGAGCGCAATGAACTTAACCACTATGCGACGGGGCCAGCCCCTAAATATTTTTATGTGAAGAGATTAATTAGTGAAAAATAGATTGTACTAACATATTTTTTATTTTAAATTATAAAATCAAAATAGAATTATAGAATATGAAAGGCAGAAACATTCCTGGAGCCCATTCAGGCTAACTCCCTCTTACAGATGAAAAACCTGGGCCCCGAGATGCAACGTCCATTCTAAACAGTAATTAGAGAGTAGCATGGAAGCATCAATAAATTTGGAAGTAGAGGAAGTATCACCTTTATTACTTTGGTGACATGAAGGTGTAACGCAAAGCACAGGGGTTTGAAAGTCAGCAGATGCAGGCTCAGGTCTCAGCTTTGCTACTTTTCTCTCTGTCACGACTCAGCACAATGGATGTATCCTCAGAGTCTTAGTTTCCTCATCCATAAAATGGGCAGGATAAGGCCTACCTACAAGGTCTGCTGTGAAAATCAGATATGATGAACTAAGTTAAACGTCAAGGAGTCCCCTTTCCTCTTCCTGTCTTACTAACCATCCCATCACAGTAGACACTCAGGTGGCGAAGACCTGACTGTGCCTGGGCGATCGGGATCTATGGAATAATGGAGTTCCACTTTAGCCGGCATCCATTTTCATATGGTGTATAAATGTATTTTTGGTGAAACTTTCCAAGACTGAGCTCTGGCACCCCATGCCTCGCGAAGCCTTGTCTGACTTTCCACGTAGACTGACCATTCGCTACTTCTGTCCCCTGGACTGTATAAATTTCTGTCACAGCACAGTGCCTACAGCACGTGAATGCATCATGTTTTATGTCTGTCTTCCCCAACCAGAGCGCAAGCTCCTTGAAGCCGAGGACAGCGAGTTGTTTGAGGACAGTTAGGACAGAGCTCCGCCCCACCACCGTCTGCGTGGCTTTTCTTCTTCCTAGCTTACGAAAGGCGCTGGATCACTGCCTGTTGGATGTTTTCAAAGACTGAGGTTTCATCTTAATCATTATTTACATTTTTCCCGTTAATTTTTTTTTTTTTTTTGTGAGGAAGATCAGCCCTGAGCTAACATCCGTGCTAATCCTTCTCTTTTTTTGCTGAGGAAGACCGGCTCTGAGCTAACATCTATTGCCAATCCTCCTCCTTTTTTTCCCCAAAGCCCCAGTAGATAGTTGTATGTCATAGTTGCACATCCTTCTAGTTGCTGTATGTGGGACGTGGCCTCAGCATGGCTGGAGAAGTGGTGCGTCGGTGCGCGCCCGGATCCGAACCTGGGCCGCCAGTAGCGGAGCGCACGCACTTAACCGCTAAGCCCCAGGGCCGGCCCTTTCCCGTTAATTTTTATGTCTAGGTTATCCCAGATCCATTTTCACCATCAAGAACATTTGTGAATATAATCTAGGTCACAAGTAAATGAAAATTTTGGTCAATTTATCGTGTTAGAACAGGCAATCTCTTTTCCAAAGGATGTCTTGTTGAATAATTTCATAAATTGCTGAATTATATAAAGTTAAATAGGTTTCATTCCTGTTGTATTTCTAAGTATCTTTGTGATATGCTAATGTGTGTGAACCACCAAGAAGGGGACATACTCTGTATGCGTGAATATTAGGAAAATTATTAGCTCTCAAATTATCCTTCAGAAGTGAGGGAATTGCCTTAGAGTTGAGTCCTTATTCCATATATTGGAAATAGGACACTTTCTCAAATACTTTATTTGAATAACCAAGTACTGTGTAGGGAAGACATTAGTCAGAAATAACTAATGTTAGACGACGAAATTGTTTAAAAGTTTTTTTCGCAACACAGATTTATTAATTATTCTAGAAAAGTTGACCTCACAATTCCTAGTTCTGGATATTATGGTTAACAAGCCTTTTAAAGGGCATTCCACAATGAGCACACGCAGTGCTTGCAGCTATGAGGATCATTAACATATATACCTGCAAGAGAAATGTTTGAATACTGTCTTTGTCTTATGTGAATTGACATTTGTGACTAAGGGTGAAATTTCCACTGACTGGATCATACATGGATACAAAAATGTCTGCCCAAACTTAAAAGGAAGAGAAGATGTGCTGTGGGAAACTTGTGATAGCTCAAAAGGTGTCTTTAGTAGCAGCAAAGACACTGAGGTCAAAGACGCATGAATACATTTAAAAATAAATGAGTGGGGAGGAGTAATATTTCAAAATCAGTATATTAAAATTATTTCATATTTTATACATGTGATTTTAAATATGCATATATATTAATGTTAGTCAAGGGCTTTTTTTGAAACTTCTTTATGGGGAAATAAGAGATTATTTTATGTTAAGTATTGCCTTATATTTGGGTATTTATGGTGATTTGCAGAGTTTTCCAATCTCAGGAGCCTATAGCTTTTTTCCATGAGTTCTTGCAAGAACACACTTTGGGAAATGCCGCTTCAGTTTAGCGAGAGCTTATCTCAGTTCCCTGTCTCTGAGCCCCCTCCACGCTGCAACCAAATTGCTGTTCAGATGGACACAGCTAGCATAACTCTAGGAAGGGCCAGCATGTTCCAGCACAGCCATGGGAAGCTTACACTCAGGCCAGTTTCTTCTGACGCTACCTCTTGTCCTTTCAGAGCGAGGCTCTGAGTGGTCTGGACACATTTGTTGACATGGGGTCCTTCGTGCTAGAGTGGGTTGTCTCAATGAAACACAGATTCTGTGAAGGAAGAGTTTCTCACGTCTTAAAACTGGTTAACAGTCTTCAAAAGCCAGAATTTCCACTAGATAAATGGTTAAATATTCTTATAGTTATATTTTTGTTAAAAAAAAAAATCTCAAAAAACACGGAATACAATCATCTCACTTTCTAGCTAATAAAACTTGCTCCAAACTATGAGAGCCTTAGGTGCATTATCTTATTTAATTCTCTTAACAAACCTGTGAAGTGGGTATTATTATCTACATACCCAGACAGGAAACTGAGACTACTAGAAATTAAGATAATTTCTCTAAGTCAAACAGATAGTAAAGCGGTAGGACTGGGATCAATCTGCGGCCACTTGCTGCCAAAGCTCTTGCTCTTGTGCCTTCCTCAAGTCGCACATCTAGAAGGTGCCTGAGGAAGGTGAAGAACCGAGGTCTCCTCCCTCCCAGTCCAGGGTCCTGTACCTTCCATCTCTACCAATACACACACACACTGTGTGGATTTCAAATACACAGTGACACACACATACTGTGTGTATTTCAAATACACAGTGACATACACATACTGTATGTGTGTATTTATTTCAAATACACAGTGACACATATACTGTGTGTATTTATTTCAAATACACAGTGACACACACATACTGTGTGTATTTCAAATACACAGTGACATGGTGCCACTAGCACCAGATACTGTTATTTGCAAGTTTCCTTGTGAATGCCGTTGGTTCTCTCACAGAAATAAAACAACATATAAGGAAAAAATATCTTTTTGCTTACTTGACTTTCTTATCTTGAGTTATTATTAGTCAGGAATCATTAAACTACTGATTAAGAACATAAGAGTATCTGAAATTACTGTAAGAAAAAAGAAAGACTGCATTTTCAGGAGGGCAATTTGGAAGTCTGAGGAAACCTAGGTTCCCCCCCTTGGAGTCACTGAGGCCCCCACCGCTCTAGCCTCAGCTTCCTGTGTGAAGAGAAGAAGGGGCAGGTGGTTCTAGAAGGTCCCTTCCACTAAAACTGCCCAAGATTTCACGCTCCACTGGTTGGTAGTGAGAGGAGAAATCTGACGCGTGCCATTCCTGCTCTGTGAGCTGAGTAAAGGATTTTAGACATCACTCCCGG